TTCTTTGTATTACATAAAATGTATTGAATGCAAGTTAAAAAGAACCTTATGTTTTGATTTTAAATTAAAAGCAAATATTCAAAGTATTTTTAAAGCAGTCCTTGAATTTCAAAGTATTTAGTCAGTGGAATAGACTTCAAATGCTTAAATAAAACAAACAGATGAATTCTTCTTCATGCTTATTTGGCTTTCTTAATACATGACTTTATTTAGTCATGAAAAATGGAATAAATACAATCACACAATCTGTCAAATAGAAAAAGCTGCATGATAATCTTCATCAGTGCTAAGAAGATAAGCAATAGAAAATAAAACAAAACAAAACATATTGCTCACCTATTTTAATTTTTTTAAAAAAATTATTAGCTGAGGCTTATAAGATACATTTATATCACTGTAAAATGTCAATCTCAATGCAAGAGCCAATGACTCAATTAAAAGTAAAGCTTTGGACATACTTCCATTAAAATCAGTATCTAAACATGGTTATTGGTATTTAGTTTTCTCATTTAACCATGTTCTGAATTTTCTCCCCAATTAAATAAGGCATGTAATAATACGACATATATTTGAGACAAGGAACAAAGATTATGTTTGAATTTTAATTAACCAAAATACTGTTATAATTAGCAACAAAGCCCACACCAGTAGTCAGAAAAATGTACAAATATAGATAATTTTACTGTATAGTTAGGCAGTAAAATGGTGAGATACTAATAACACCGTTATATGAAGAAAAGGAATTTTGCTTCCAGTAATGGTGGCCTATGTATTTCAGGCTTAATCTTCAACAAAGAGCAAATATAAAACCTGGAAAACATATCAAAGGCAGCATATTGAAGGCTTAAGAGAGCTATAAAAGGCAATGAAGAATTACAAGGCAATATCTTTGAGAAGAAAATTCAGAGCACTAACCCAGAATTTGGGACCATACTTTTTTCTTACAGGCATCTACTTATTCTTCAAAATTTTAGGCCAGTTTACTAGCCAACCTCATTATAAATGTAGATGCAGTATTCTAACAGAATGTTGGCAAGCCAAATCCACAAATACATAAAAACAATTATAATCCCAACCAAGTCAGATTTATTTCAGGAATGCTAAGTTGTTTTAACAATTTAACTCACCATATTAACAGAATAAGATAGAAAAAAAATGATCATCTATATTAATATAAAAAAATTTTGATGCAATTATGTATCCATGTATTATTTTAAAAATAACAATATAAGAACAGTAGGGAAATTCCTCAATCTGATAAAGGATCTTCACAAAACTTACAGCAATCATATTCAAATTATAAATAGTGGACATATATCCTCTGAAATTATACAGGAAGTGAGGATGCCTGCTGCCACCATTAACTCCAACATTGAACTGGAGACCACAGCTAGTGCAATAAGGCAAGAAAAAGAAATAAAATATATAATGTTTGAAAAGGAAAAAAAAATAAAGCTATCATCTTATGCTGGTAATATAACTGGTATATCTATCATCTTATGCTGGTAATATAACTGCATACAAAGAATCAGCATGTACATTGTTAGAATAAGTGAATTTAGCAATTATGTTAATTACCAATAATCACCTTAAGTGTTTGAATGCTTAAAAGGACTCTCAGGATTCACAGGTTTGTAATCACAACACAAGCCCAGCGATCTCAGGTAGAGGCTTCTCTGTCTTTGCTCCACTGAGTCACACAGAACATACTTTTCCCCAGATCTCAACGACCACTGGCATGTATGTAAAGCACGTCAGCTCTAGGAAGTCCAAAGTATTTCACAGTGAGGTCTCTTCCAGCAGGTGGTCAGGAAGAACATTACAGACTGTGTGGTCAGTCTTAACCATAGAAACTCCTCCTAGGTCCGTCGAAACCAGATGCATACCATAGGCACAATTATCACTAACAATAATAACAGGCCTCTATGTCCTGACCCCCAGAAACTCCCAGACCCACACTTACAAAACATTAATTATCTTTAGTTAGAGCATGCTATAGATTTGTCAAGGGTCACCGTTAGGCTCCAACCATCTCTGTAAATGAGCATATCATCTAGCTAGACCAGCTAAGATTCGCCTGTGCTAGGCAGTAAGACTGCAAGACATTGGCCTAGGCAAAGAGTTTATGAAGAAGTCCCCAAAGGCAATCACAGCAGCAACAAAAATAAATAAATGGGACATGATCAAACTAAGAAGCTTCTGCACAGCCAAAGAAACAGTCATGAAAGTAAACAGACAACCTACAGAATGGGAGAAAATTTTTGCATCCTACACATCTGATAAGGGACTGATAACTAGAATATACTTAGAACTCAAGAAAATGAGCAAGAAAAAAATCAAATAACCCCATTAAAAAGTGGGCAAAGGACTTGAACAGAAACTTTTCTAAAGAAGACAGAAGAATGGCCAACAAACATATGAAAAAATGCTCAACATCTCTAATCATCAGGGAAATGCAAATCAAAACCACAATGAGATATCACTTAACTCCAGTGAGAATGGCCTTTATCAAAAAGTCTCCAAATAACAAATGCTGGCGTGGATGCGGAGAGAGAGGAACACTCCTACACTGCTGGTGGGACTGCAAACTAGTTCAACCTCTGTGGAAAGCAATATGGAGATACCTTAAAGCGATACAAGTGAATCTACCATTTGATCCAGCAATCCCATTGCTGGGCATCTACCCAAAAGATTCAATGATACTCTACAAAAAAGACACCTGCACTCAAATGTTTACAGCAGCACAATTCATAATTGCAAGGCTGTGGAAACAGCCCATCAATCCAAGAATGGATTAATAAAATGTGGTATATGTATACCATGGAGTACTATTCAGCTCTAAGAAACAATGGTGATATAGCACATCTTGTATTTTCCTGGTTAGAGCTGGAACCCATACTACTAAGTGAAGTATCCCAAGAATGGAAAAACAAGCACCACATATACTCACCTGCAAACTGGTATTAACTGAGCAGCACCTAAGTGGACACATAGGTACTACAGTAATAGGGTATTGGGCAGGTGGGAGGGGGTGGGGGGTATATACATACATAAAGAGTGAGATGTGCAGCATCTGGGGGATGGTCATGCTGGAAACTCAGACTTGTGGGGGGAGGGAGGAAAAGGGCATTTATTGAAACCTTAAAATTTGTACCCCATAATATGCCTAAATAAAAAAAAAGAACTGTATCGCAAGATTTCTACATGCATACAATTACACATACACACGCCAAAAAATAAAAACAAAACAGAACCATGTAATACTGTTCAAGTTAATTCCACACACATTATATTTCTATATTAGTTTCCTATTACTGCTGTAACAAAGTGCCACAAATTTAGCGGTTTAAAACATGCACATTTATTACCTTATAGTTCTAAAAGTCAGAAGTCCAAAATGGGTCAGCAAGGCTGCGTACCTTTTGAAGGCTCTAGGAGACAATGTATTCCTGGCTTCCCCAGCTCCCTGAGTCCATCTGCATTCCTTGTCTCATGGCTCCACATTATTCCAACCCTGGCTTTTATCGTTCTCCTTCTCTGGCTTTCTTGACTTCCTCTTTCCCATGCAAAAGACCCTGTGATTATATTGGTCCCACCTGAATAATGCAGTAAAATCTCCCTATCTCAAAGTCCTTAATTTAATCACATCTGCAAATCTCTTCTTGCCAAGTGAAGTAACATATTCATGGATTCCTGGCATATCGGGACATGGACATCTTTGGGGGGCATTATTCTGCCATAAGATCTAAACATTGAAGAAAAGCAAGAATGCTTGTAGCAGATAGTAGAGGAGAACACGTGCACTAGACTGCACTAATGTTCCAAATTCATCACCCCAATTATTAATGTTATCCATTATCTTCATCATGTGACTTTGAAGTTCCTTCTACCAGTGTTAGAAAGTACAACCCTACTCTTGATTTCAACCTCAGCCGTGTGGCTTGATTCAGTCAGTGGATGTAAGTGGGTATGAAACAAGCATGTGCTTAAAATGCACTTACCTTCTAGAACCTCTGTCCTCACCATGGGAAGAAAAACAAACAAACAAAAAAAGCTGTAGCTAGCCTGCTAGTTCAAAATCTACTTGAAGCATACCTGGACCTAGCCTTAACTTATAACCAAATTCACCTGAGCCCAGACTAAATCAGTTAACCCACAGCCAACCTATGGACACATGAGCAAGATTAGATTGTTGTTAAACAACTGAATCTCATATTGGTATTTTTATGTAGCATTATTGTGGCTTTAGTTGACTGATGCAATATCTTTTTAACTTTAAAATTGTCATAAAACTGGGTTTTAAAACATGACACAGAAAGCAAAGAGAAATATTGACAAACTGGATTGCAATAAAATTAAAAACTTCTGTTCGTCAAAATCAAATGAACTTCTGTTCACTAAGTGACTGAAAATGCAGCATAATAACTGACAAAGGGCTTATTCACAGTATTTATAAAGAACTCCTACAAATCGATATGAAAATGACAGATTATCCAAGAGAAAGTGCTGTAGAGATTTAAGCAAGCCCTTCACTACGGAGGTGTTCAAATATCCAATATACATATAAATATGGCTGTGCTTCATCAGTCATGAGGGTGATGCAAAGTAAGATTAGAACATGGTACCACTATCTCCCTACCCAAATGACTAAACATGATTGACAGCTGGAACAATTTATGCGCTACCCAGACTGTGACACACTGCTAGAGGCAAGTGAATTGCTACAACCACTTTGGGAAACTGTCCGTCCATATGTTATAAATTGGGGAGGTGGGGGCAGGGAGCACTGTCTATTTGAGAAATACCATAAAGGCTGGTATAGGTATCGCTATGTAGCATCCTGAGGTAAGGAGAGGCTAGTGTGAGCTGAATTTGGGGAACACAAAGATATTAGTCTAAGCAGAGCATTGTAGGACGTGGTAAAACACAAAGATTTTCTTTTAAGTTCAATGGAAAGACATAGTGAGGCTTAAAGCAGAGATAAGAAATTATACAAATCATATATTTTAGTTTCCCATTTAATTGCTGTGTGGGGAGAAGGAGTCAAAATGGGGCCAAAATAAAAGCAAAAAGAACAGTTAGGAGGAGCATGCTAGTAAGGAGTAACTAAAAGGATCAGGGTGATGGCAATGAAACTGTACAGGAGCATAGATTGGGGCCATAGTCAATTGAATGATAGGTTATTTGGGGGCCAGGGGTTGTAAAAAAAAAAAACGAGGAGAAGTAAAAGTGTATCCTAATTTCTGTGGCTGCGCTAGTGGGTAATGGGCAAACTTGATGTGGTTTGCCCATTTACTAAGATAGGGAAGAAATCAAATGCATCATTTAGGAAGTGATGTCTGTCCCTTTACTTTGACAGATTGAGTTTTGTTTCACTTTATTCTATATTTCCTACTCCAACGTGGCTAGTTGGGGTCTGGTTTGATGAGGCCCCTGTTATAGAGAAAGCAGCACGGACAGTAAGTAGATATTCCAGATTCTCTCTGCAATGGATGCCGCCAGGAGTTTCGAATAGGATGGTAATTCCATTTCTCCACACTTCTCTGTAAATGCATGGGAAAGACATAGGATTTGTCTGAATTTGTGATCATCTTAGGAGGAAGTGCATTGTAGAAAAATGGTAAAAGGATGTTAGAACAAATCAAAACTGCAGTAATAAATATTTTACTTTGAAATTTTAATTAATTTGTACTTTAACTGAATAGTTGGAGAAAAAATTCTAGGCACTAATACGTTTTATGCAAAATGTGCTTTTTAAAAAAAATATAAGTATTATGTAGCATCAGAAAATAGCAGTTATTACACTGACTTTTATATTACTCTGTCTTTTAAGACCATAGCTGTCTACACAGTGTAGCTGGAAAATGTACACTGTTAATTATTATCTCATTTTCCCATAGGAATACTACAATAACGATTTTAACAAAAATAAAGACTAGCACAAAGCAATATATTCATGCTATGTAATATCTCTCACATTCTATTTGCTATGTGCAAATGCATTTGGTCAGGATAATACGACAGATCAATTTAATACTAAATAGTAATTAAAATTAAAAAACTGAACAGACCGAATATAATGCCATATTTTTAATGGAAATGCATTACAAATAGTGGCAAAGCATTGCATGTAAATAATTGGATTGCAACTTCCAAGTTAATTATCACAGGAAGAATGTTAGTTTTTCACATTTTATTACAGTATTTCAGATCATTCATCACCTTCAAGAGAATGTCAGCACTTCATTTTTATAATTTATAGTGATTAAAATGTGAGAAAATATTGATTTTTAGATCAGTGGATAATTGCAATAAATTAATTTCTAAACTAAAATGTAATTTTAGTTCTCACCAGCCCCTTCCCTTGGTTCTGTCACAGCCTAAATCAACGCTTGAAAAAATATGATTGAAGATGGAATTTGAAATGCTAAATTGGCTATAAAAATGTTATTCACTTATCCTCTGGGATTCTTCTTTTAAAAGAAGAATCTTCCTTTAAAAGAAGAATTCTAGGCAAGTGGCTTTATTTCTAACTATCATCTAGTTAGAAATTGAGAAAATCGGCTAAGAATTCATATCAGTGAAATTAATCTTTTACAACTGCCCCACCCTATTTCTGCAATCGTCCAGGAGGCAGAAAACAGAGATCTTAAGGATGTTACCCTACATTTGTTGAAGGGATTTCTCCCTGCAAAATTCCTTTCTACATACTAGTAATCCCCACATGTCTGCGAGGAAATTTAGAGAATTTTTTTCATATTTTGAATTTATGACTAATGAAATTAAAAAATATATACATGACTTGACTATTACATCAGATTCTGATATGCATGAAATATATAGTTTGGTCTAAAAGAGATTAAATAGACACCTAATCCCCATCTCACCAGGTTTGTAGGAAAAGCAGTCACAGTTAATAGTTCCTCCCCTGACAGCGTAACGGAGAATCTAGCAAAGGTCTGATGTCTCATGCAGAGGAATAAATTCTAGAAAGCCCCTCTGCTCTTTTGTCTGTACTCCTGGTAATTGTGCCTGAGGTTCAAACTGATAGGATCTTCAACGACTCTGAGGTCCACAGACTGGGAAGCTGCCGTGCTGCCTAAATGACAGGGCAGTTTGGTAAGAAGAGGAGTCCCTGCTCCCTGGGGGAGTCCCCCTAAGTCACCTGCCTCTCTTGTCAAAACTACATGGGGTTTTGGCTTAGGTCTAGTTGTTCATTGCAGAAAGATCCGATTATTGAGACAACGAGGATTGTCAAGGAAGGAAGGAATTTTTAATATATAAGAAGCTGCCTCAAATCCATCTCTCCAATTATCAGAGGCCTTGGGCTTTTCAAGGAGGGGCCATGTGCCTTGGGGCAGGTTGGGGGGACAGCCAGTGTCAGGAGTCTGCCCAGGGGCCTTCAGCATCTCCGCTCCTTTGCCTTGCAGGAAATCCACCATTTCTTGGAAACAACTCAAAAGGTCAAGTAGTTAGACAAGGGAGAGGCTTAGAAACAAATACATAGGGCTCATGGACATTTGTTCGTAGAGCCAGTTATACCTCTGCACCCTCTGGGCCTCTTGTTTCCCGTCACACACTGGACATGCCAAGCTCTACCTGGTCTCTGTGGAAACCTGTTCCTTCTCCTTCCCCTGTGATCACAGACACTCCCATTTCTCTCTCCCAGTGCTAAATGAAGCTTACTTTCTTCCCTGTCCTGAAGCTTTAATGTTACAAAGGCATCAAGCAGATACTGCCCTTACGGTTGTCGAAGTCCCTGAGGCAAGGCATTGGATGGGACCGTGTGCTTGCACGGACAATACAAAGGACAGATTAAAGAATTAGCATCCTAAGACTGGGCAAGGTGGCTCCTACCTGTAATCCCAGCCCTTCAGGAGGCCCAGGTGGGAGGTTCCCTTGAGCCCTGGACCAGCCTAGGCAACATAGGGAGACCCTGTCTCTACAAAAAAAAAAAAATAGAAAGATTAAATGGGGTGTGGTGACAAGCCTGTAGTCCCAGCTACTCTGGATCTTGGGTCTGGGAGTTCAAGGATGCAGTGAGCTTCGATTGTGCCACTGCACTCCAGCCTGGGAGACAGAGTGAGACCCTGTTGCTAAAAATAAAATAAAATAAATAACATCTTGTCAATGGGAAAAAAGCCAAAGTCTGCAAAATAATTTTAAAGAGATTTATTCTGAGCCAAATTTGAGGACCATGACCCGGAGCCACTCTCAAGAAGCCTTGAGCAAGTGGGCTGGCTGTGGCTGGGTTACAGTTTGGTTTTATACATTTTCAGAGAGACAAGAGTTACAGGCAAAGTCACAAATCAATACATGAGAGATATACATTGGTTTGGCCCAAAAAGGTGGGACATCTTGAAGTGGGCCATCTTACAGATATAGGTAGGTTTAAAGATTCTTTGGCTGGCAATTGGCTGAGAGAGTTAGACTTTATCTAGAAGACCAGAAAGGATATACTTACTTTAAGATAAGGGTATGAGCACTCTGGGAGGTCCAACAGGAGGATATTTTAAATTTACAATAGGCGCCTGCTAGGATGATTTAAGATGCTTTAAATTTAAGGATAGGCATCTGCTAGGATGCTTGAGTTAAGATATTTTAAATGTATGATAGGCATCTCCTAGGATGCTTGAGTTAAGACAGGGGCTTCTTATCTTTTAGGTGATGTTAATGCCATACCAGAATCAGGTTGGGAAGTAAACCACCACTTCATTTGGTTAACTCCCACTCATTTGGTTAATTCCCACTAAGCCGCTTAGTGGGAATTTACTGTTCGTCAGCCTGACCCAGCTGGCCTCCTTAGGAAAGAGTTTTTAGCAAAAGAAAAAGATCAGAGTTCAGTCCTCAATCTCAAAAATTATTTTGCTAAGAATAAAAACTTCATGTGTTAGGTAGATAGTGAGGGATTCTCAGTCTCTTAGTTGTTGCCTTGGTGCAATTGCCCCACCTGGGAAGAAGGACAAGGGTGGGCTCCAGGCCCCCATCTGGGTCCTGCCCCACCCTCCTCCTCCCCCAAGTGACTGCCAAACCACACCCGGGGAGCTGAAAAGAATGCAGAGGACTGTCTAGCCCATACACCAAGCAGCATTAGGTATGAAGGAGTCCAGAAATTGACCTAGAACAACCTGCATGGGTAATAATGCAACTCCCAACTGTCCAATCAAAGTGGTTCCCTGGTGACATCGGAGCCACAGGGAGGTCCCAATCCAGGCACTGTAAAACAAGTCACAGACCACGACCAAACTCTCTTTCCTGCCACAACAAGGGGTCTGGTTGTCATCTGTGGAGTATGTATCTTGCTCTGTAAACCTGTATCTTGCTCTTGCCCTATTATCCTATCTTTCTCCCCATCAATAAATTTCACCCCATGCTTGCCTTACTTTGGTGTGTCTGGTCATTCTTTGGCCATGAATGCACCAAGAACTGAGAACACACAACGAGACTAAACCTGACGCATGGATTGAATGTCACACTGTGAGTCAGAAGCATTGGAACCTTGGCTTTCTAAATCCAAATCTAATATTTCCTTCTATCGTGTCATTTTATTTCTTAATCCAATCAGTACTTTTTCTGAGATTATCATGTACAGTATTCTAATTAGTTTCATTTTTCTTGCTCATTCATAACTCAAGGAAAACATGCTATAAATCTCTGACATCTAGCTGTTTACCTGAGATGGTCAACAAGAATAGTTGAGCATATCTTCTTATCTAAAGAAAAAGTTTTTAAAAAACTAAGCAGATGTAGACTTACTCATAAAAATAAACTGATAATATATCTTTTGACTTCTGTCACCTTTATAAACGAATTCATCCATTTATTCAAAAATTCTATGCAGCACTTACCCTCAGCCACATGCTACACCGTTTGTACAGTGAACAGGGTCCCTCACCATGTGTGATGTTGCTAGAGAGGGCACGTACGGTGGCTGCATGAAGACAAGAGTCTATGCTGGGACCTGAAGAAATGCAAGAGTCAGTCAGGTAAATAGGACGGGGCTAGTGGATGGAGGCTCAGTGTCCCGGGCAGAGAGAAGCATCCGTGCAAGGACCAAACCAGGAATTACAAGAAGTCCTAACAGCAAATCTTCAAAAGCCTTATACAGCAAGTTAAGGAATTCAGATTATGTCTTAATGACTTTGGAGAAATGTCTTTAAAGGGCTAAGGAATTATGTAAAGGGTTTGATGAACCCAGAACCATATTTTAAAAAGATAACCGAATGGAGCATGCCGGGTGGAGAAAGGCAGGGACGGTAGTGGTCAGGAGAGCAGAGTGTACGATATTTGGTTTCCACAGGCCACTTAGGAAGCTGTGACAGTGGTTCAGGTAGGAAAATACTTGTGACTGGGACTGGTAAAATGGCGGAGCAAAGGGCAAAAGCAGGAAAATTTTAAAATATTTAGGTGGTATGTTCAGTCAGATTTGGCGTTAGGTTTTGTGGCAACATATTCGAGTGACTCACGCAACACGCCCTCCTCAGATGCCTTCCCAGGGCACAAGGCAGACAGCTCTGACCCTCCATCTTCCAACCACCACCCT